AGCTAATTTATATCACTTTAGCTCGATCCGGTCAGACTAAGACAGCTTTGCTGAATCAATATTTTGATGAAATGGCTTTTGGAAAACCGCTAATTTCACCTCGAGGGGAAGATAATTCCTATCATGCCATTCCACGAAGTCCTGCAGCATAACATCCGCTGCATCCCTCTGTTTGGGGGACTAATCTCCCCGCATGGAGCAAACATCTAAAAAATGGGAGGGAGAGAAAGACTGCCAAAAAGGTCTGCCCAGATGTTAGGCTGATGAAACTTTGCACCTGCTGCAGCTACAGAGCAGCTGTTCGGTTGTACTGTGAGACTAAACACCCACCATATCCCCCAGAAAAGCCCACATGATCTTCATCTGACCTCAGCTTCCTCTGAGTGAAACCTGAAGGCTGCTGCTGCTCCATTACAAGCCAACATGTTCCTTTACATATCAGCCTCTGGCAGAGGAGACACTGATCATCACCATAAAGAAAAGTTGGCATCTGGTTACCTTTTGATAAACAGAAAATATGAATATTGAAGTGTTGCTAAGAACTCAGAAAAACATGGCATTTCTCATCTTGTACCATATGACTCGGTGAATGACAGGACATTGCAGCCACATTAGCAGCTCTGAGGAGCTGTGTTCTCTATTTAGTGTTAAAGTGAACACAGAGGACACAATGTTCACATGCAGGATTGTAGGTACAGCTCTTATTTGGCAGAACACAACCTCTTTGTGTCATCTGGTATTTACATTGCAGATCAAACACAGATCGCATGCAGAGTTCCTTCAGCCTCCATCCTCATTTTACTTTTATTTAACATCTATATCACCCCTTAGTTGATATTTTAGAGTTCTGCAACATCGGCAGTAGAATTTAGTCCATCACAGAGTTTCTGAGATGTGAATGATTCAGAATTACCTCAGGCTAAATGTAGTTTTTTTTTAATCAATATTAAAAAAGTAAAAATATCCTTCAACTTTACTAGGAGGCTTAAGATCAATGACAAAACAAACACAAACTTAGACTTTTATTTTCCTGACCTCTCTGAATCTGAATCACATAATCTGTTTACGGCTGCCTTAAAACAGTGGAGGAAATCATTTTATGTCTAAGCAGGACACAGAAAAGCTGGTTATTTTCCCTTTCCTGTTTGTCAATCTATATTAAAACTCTCTTTATAGTTTTCAATCTATTAAATTAAATGCCGAACATGCAGAGTGCATTTTAAAATAATTAACTCTTCCCTAAATCAATCGATTTAGGCCTATATGCCAGAGTTGGTGGTCAGGTGTGAACCATGTGGATCTCTCAGATAATCAGAGAGCTGCTCACTTTGTGTTCCCAGGAGCAAAACAAAACTAAAGGAAGCATCATTTAGTTTCAATGCTCATCAGCTTCTCAACTGCCTGAAAACCTGAGATTAGCAGCAACTTTTCAATCTGTTAAACCAGGACTGAAAATATTTTATTTACTGCATCCTCCCCAATATGCAGACTACATAGTATTTAAATGCATACCATTTTATGTTTTTCTTATCCTTTTAAAACATTAAATAATTTCACTTTAATTCAAATATTCTATCAGTTTCATTTTTTTGTTTTTAAACTTAATTAAAATAAACTTAAGGAAATGTAGGGGTTACTTAAAATAAGAAGTCATAAAATGGTATAAAACTAATGCAAGAATGAGAAATCCTCTGGGCTGAACCATCAGATCAGGATTTAGTGAAACAAGCATGTCAAAGATACTGCAGTTTATATCATCAGCATCTGCTTTGGTCAGAGATGCTTTCTAAAAAGAACGATAAGGATGCCAGAACCTCTCAACAAAAAGCTTTCCAAACCACCTTTCTATTGCTTGTTAGCATGTCCAGTTAATAAAGAGGGGGAGCTTTGCATGTTCTTCACAGTGGATAAGGAGGTGGCAGATTCACAGCTTCTGGTTCGGTACCGAGTTTTTTTTTTCTTCCATTTTTTCTCTTAAAGGAGTCCAAACTACATTTGCAAATTCATTAAACCTTTGTCACATTCATCAACACACAGCGAGACATTTTATTATTGCAAACTAACATGAGAAACACCAAAGTGTGTACTGATGCCTGTGCATGGGATGGTGAATCAGTGGGTGAGTTGATAAAAGCAGTAGGATGACATGCGTCCTTGGAAGCCACCAACATCACAGGGTTCTGTGAGGCTCCTTGTGTAGATGTCAGTCCTCTGTGTGTGGTCTGCCTTGGCTGACTGCAAACCTCAAGGCGTGAGTGGTGTACTATCACCTAACCAGCGGTTTTTGGCATTGTGGCATCTCTCCATGCAGAGTGTTTGAAAAACTAACAATGTAAGCATTGTTAAACCCAGTGAAGTGTCTGTAATAACACCTAGTACCTCTGTTTGTGGTGACCTTTTTTACTCTATTTGACCACCTGTCAGACCCACCAGCTACCACTTCTGCCCTCTGGAGGCCATTATAGACATGGAAAATATATCAAAACAAACTTTACTGTAAATGTTATGTAATAAGACATTCGAAAAAAGGCAAATAATAGTTTAAAACCTGATAAATTTGAACTTTGACCCCATGGAGATGAAGGGCTATGTTCCGTGCAATATTAGGATAATGCTGCTATAGGCTTAGACTGCTGGAGGACATAGGGACCTCTTTTCATCATTCTGCTTCATTCTCTCTATACTCCCACTCTGCAGTATTTTTTTTTAGCTAAATCTCTTACGTTCTGCTCTCTCTGCTTTTTCTCATAGTAGCTTCATCTGATCTGTTCCTGTGTGGCTGTGACACCATCCTGGAGAGGAATATCAGCTGTGCTGCTGCCGTCAACACCTATGTTGACGGTAGATGTTGGAGTTTGGCCTGTTTTTCAGTGTAGTTCTGTTTCTCTGACTAACTGTATGTGCTCTCTTTTATCCTCTGACATGAGAGCTGGTTTCGAGCTAGTCTGCCTGGCTGTGGGTTTCCTGGGAGGGGCCGCCTGTGGAGCTGGTTTGCAGTTGCCTTTTAATAATAATAATAATACATTTTATTTCAAGCGCCTTTCAAAACACTCAAGGTCACTGTACATATAAAAACAATAAATGGTAAAAAGCAGTCGTCATAATTAAAAGAAACAACACAAATTACACAGAGGAAAGTAATATAAAATCATAATGAAAAGGCAATCTTGAACATGTGGGTTTTGAGTTTGGATTTGAATACGGGTAAAGACTCGGTTTTGCAGATGTCAGAGGGGAGAGAGTTCCAGAGTGTGGGCGCAGAACGTGAAAAAGCTCTGCTCCCCATGGTTTTAAGACGGGCTGAAGGAACAACTAAGTGAGTGGTAGAAGAAGATCTAAGAGTGCGGGAGGGAGTAGAAATTTGAAGTAAATCAGAATTTTGTATCTCTGCTTCTTTCTGTATGTCTGCTTCGTTCTCCATGAACCCGTCGGCCTCGGCAGATGGCCGCTCACACTAATCCTGGTTTTCCAAAGGTTACTTCCTGTTAAAGGGAGTTTTTCCTTTCCACTGTCGCTACAAGCATGCTTGGTGTGAGGAATCGCCTTCGACTCGATGCAATCAACTGGTTTGCCTTAGAAAACTTTGAAACAATTTGACTGTATGATCTGGTTAAATTGTAAAGTGCCTTGAGAGGAACGTGTTGTGAATTGGCACTATATAAATAGACTGAATTGAAAAATATGATGAAATCCTTATTGAAAATTTGTGAACATCCATTATATTTCCCATTATTAGAATGTTGACACTAATTGTCAGTCAAGTAAAATTCAACTGTTCGTTTTTTTATCCACAACGTTTCAACTTAAGAAATAAGAATTAAGAGTGCATCTAGAAAAATTTTCTAAAAATGTGCAATCGAGCACATGCAATGTTGGATGATCTTATTACTACTGCAAAAAAAATCCCACGTTCAATCCACCACTCTAGGAAAGAAGCATCCTAAATAAAAATAAATCGCTCTTTTCAATAATTTTTTTCAGTTTATTTGCAAAAATTTAGTGTCATCACAAAACACAGTACAAAGAAGTAAGAAAAAAAAAAAAAAGAGTGTAAGACATCTCTGAATTGCTTGATGTGCTTTTACTTGTAAAGACCAGAGAGGGCAGGTAAGCAGAGAACTGCACAAATAGTGATTAAAAAGCCCTTAAAACAGACAGAGTCTGCTTGGAGAACGTCGGTGACAACAAAAGGGTCGTTTCATTCACAACATTTTATCACACAGAAGAATAACGTCTGGGACACATAGAAAAAAAAACAGATATAAACACAGAGTTCAAGTTAGAAAAGCAAATAATATTCAGAGTAAACAGGAGATCAAACAAAATGTAACAAAAGGTATTTACAGGGGAAAAAAAGCACATCACTTTTGCACGTTAACAGTTTTAATAACAATTTTTTTACATTGCATGAGACGTCAAAAGTTAAGAGAGAAGTTAAAACAACAGTCAACAAAATCATGTACTTAAATAAAGAAAAAAACAACACCTTTTGAAATCTGTGCAAATCGTTTTCAGTTAATCCTCCACATGTACACTAAATAATGCCTAAAGCCTGGCTGCTTGCATCTGTTCAGAAAGTCAATATTAGATAAAAGAGTGCATACTTTAGCGCTAAGTGCAAACAAATTGCTTTTTTTTTTTTTTTAAGTTGTGCATTTAAAATCTGAGCTTTTGGCAGTTTATATGTTTCTTTAAGCAGCAATAACCTTTTACTTTAACCATTGTAGTAAAATATCTGATAGAAAATCTTTTCTATATGCTTTGAAATTTAAGATTAAACCCACAGTTTTAATGGCCGGCGATATAGATTTGATACATTAAAAAACGTTTTAGGATTTCCTTGGTAGCACGTTCTGTAAAAAAATGTCAGCTTATGTTTGCTTTGCTTCCCGATCAGAGGGAGAGGATAGCTGCGGCAGATGTGCTACGCCAGCCGGGCGATGGCGGCCCCAAGCAGCTACAGGGAGAAGATTCATCCTCCGCCATCAGGCACTTGATTCGCTTAATTAAAAACACCTGAAGACCAAACAGAGCTGCTGTCATGTTTCAGCTCTCAGCCACACTATGACGGCCATGTGCCATGTAACCACGGAGCTCAGGCGTCAGATATGCAGCTCTGGATCTTGTCCGTCCACACCTGAGCGCTGGGCGCATCGGAAGCACAGAAGTTGTAGACTCTCTTGATAGTTTTCAGCTAAAAGAAAAAAATCCAAATAGATTTAAAATTATGTTTGTGTAAATAATCCTTTAATTACATAACTGAAACAAGTTATAAGGAGTTGGGGTTTAAAGCTTTGATTCTTTAAGAATTCGATAAATGCAACCAGATGATGTAAGTAAACCGTATTCTGTGAAGTAAAGCTCTGTGGACTAAAAGCTGTGTTCTGTCATGCATCTTTATTTCTAATTGCATGCCTTAGTTATAAAACTATGCTGCAATAAGGGTGAAAAGGTCCTTTTAGTCTGAATGAGTCACGCCTCTTCAGCTGAAGCCCTGCTGGGTAGAAAGTCCGACTCGTTTAATTTCATTTTTTGAAAAGCTTAAGGCTAAGATGCATAAGTACATTAGTTAGTGTTCATGGGACTCTACTCTGATGTCTGCCTGCTGTTAATCATGTAAATTATTGTGGTCAGATGAGTATTCTCTCCGCGAAAAGGTATACTTAGAAGAGCTTGATGCTTTTTAAAGCTTAAAACACCCGCCAACTATCAGGCACGGCATTGGTTCCATTGCGATGTGGGCTTTTTCTGTCAAAACGGTGCGTAAGAGTGTAAAATCGTAATGTGAAGAAAAGCAGCCTCGCTTTCCAGAACAGCGTGTGAACCCATGTACTCACGTCAAAGAAAGCCTTTTCACTAATGTGTTTGGGGGCTCCTATGGTGGGCGCCGCCGTCATCACAGACTCCACGTCGGCCAGGTCGATGTGGCCCCTGCAGTTCGTGTCCTCGCCAGTGTCGTAGTATCGGAGCTGCGAACACATGGGAGTAAAGCAGCTGCCTGCTGCACAGATGTAACCTCTTAAGGAACAGGAAAGAGGAGCGGCGCCCTCACCTGGTGTTTGGTGACGTCCAGAACAAACCAGCGAGGCTTCCAGGCTTTCAGTAGAGCCCCGCGTTTGTAAAGAATCCCCTCATAAGACCTGGAGAAGAATTAGATGTGTACAGAATAAAAGAAAAATAAACAAATTAAATTCGATTTTTTAAAAACTTTTTTGTGGTTTATCCATCCAATAATAATTTTAAACTATGAACAACTTTTTGCTACATCTCTGTAAAGTCATCTGTCAGAACGGCTTTTGGAATTTGAAAAATGAGGAGCAGATGCAGGAACCATCAGAAAAAAAACACAAAAACCTGATGTGAAGTAGATTTTAATGACTGTGTTTCAGTCCAGAAGAAAATATCCCAATACTTGAGCCAAGAGACTGTACTTGAACCTCTCTGTGATTGTAAAATCACACACCCAGACCCTAACTGAGAGTACAGACCATCCTTGCAAAGATGACACGGAGCATACTGCAGCGCTGAATCATCTTCCAAATCTGGAGTGGCCCCTCGGCCAGTGACTCACACGTCTTCCTTCCTGTTAGTCTTGGAGCTCAGGAAGTCCGTGACCCACCTGTTCTCCTCGCTCTTGGGGGTGAACTGGTTGTAAAGCGTTGCGGCGCGGCGGTTGACCCCGTTGGCTGTGGTTGTGCTGTGGTCGTCCACCAGGCCGCTGTCTGGCAGGTGCAGCATGGAGCGGCGCTGGAAGGCCTGCAGGCCGGATGTGGGAATGATGCCAGAGAGGGACAGCGACTGCTTACGGAGCTGCAGACAAATAAAGACGTACATACAGTTTTTTTTTTTTTTTTTTCAAATCATTCTAATATAAAAGTAATCTTTTACTAATAGACACACATTTCCTTCCCGTTTGAGATCTTCCTGTATGCTGAGACGGACGTTCTCCAGGGTCGCCTGCCATTTCTCAGGGCCCTGGTTTAGCTCTCCCTCCAGCCTCTCGATGTCCTGCAGCACCAAAAGAACCAGAAATTATTACCGACGACAGAAAAAAAAGAACCTGAAAGCAAAAAAAAAAATAGAGCCTTTGTCCCCAGGCGCTTACAGAGAGAAGTTTGGTGATGGCGTCCGGCTGGGCACTGCTCACGCTGCTGTAACACGGCCATACGATCCTCCTCTTGCTGTTGGCGTCCACTTCCTCCGTGCTCTCTGACCTCACCGCCATCATCCTCCAGTCGTAACATGGACCCGTTGACAGAGTTTCCTCTGTGAAATAGTCCCATTTAATCAGGCTGGGGATGCTGAGGAAAGGCTTCAGGACCACCTGCATCAAGACAGGACATCACTTTGTAACATTAGCTACTGCAGCTGGAATAATGCAGAATAATTACATTTAATCACATGTTTTAACAGAATGATCTGTATAAAAGCAATGACAAATAGTACAAGTGATAATTTACACCACATTCGTCTGCAAACTAAAATAGAGCTGATCTTTTTATGATAAAATAACAGTTTAACTTATGTTTCATCGCCACTCTAAGCTTAATATAACCATTAATCCAGAAGCCATTTTGGGCGTTGGAACCTGTGATGATGAGACGTCGATGCAAGAGATAAATACTAAGAGATCAACAGCAGATCAAAGCAAATATCTAATTCCAAATATCTGATGAAAATGCTTATTACATGCAAGGATTGGCTTCAGTATTTCACAGAAAACTTGAAGCACAGTAGCGTGTCATTTACTTTAAGACCAGTAAAAATCAGGCTTTGATCTCAAATTATCAAAGGTTTGTCGAAAGCAGAGGCCAAAGAGCAATCTGACAAGAAGGTCTGTGTAAACAGTTATTAGACAAATCAACATGTTTAGCTGAGGCCCTGTGGCTGATGGCAAAATGATGACAGCAGGCTTCTAATGCAGCAGACAGGGTTTACCTCCGAAATAATAATAGAGTCCTAATCTGATTGTGTTCCAGTCAGAAAGGATTGGCATAACTACTTAACGTAGACCCGTGTGTAGACTAAGTGTTTCCAGCGTCAGAACCAAACAGACTGAGCCCCAGTCCTGACATTCACTATGTAGGCAAGCATTGCTGTTATTTTAAAAAAAGAAACAGAAAATAACTCTTAGTGACGGCTAATTCATTTGTCATGAGCATCATTGCCCACAGATATCGCCTTCTCTCAGATACGCCGTCACTGATGGTTTACAGCTGATCACGGACGCGTTAGCTACTTAAAGACCAGCTTTATTTATAAGAGATGCTCTGAGCAACATATTTAAACCCAGCTTAGTTTAGGATCACTCGAAAAAACGGAATTAAAAACTGTATTTTCTGTACTATAGAGCGTACCTCAATATAAGCCGTGCCCACTAAGTTTTTTTTGAAAAAACTGGAAACATACATACATAAGCCCTACCAGGCTATAAGCCGCTGATATCTACTGACCGGTCTCCCCACAAACCTCTAGGGGGAGCTCTACATATCGCCCCTGGAGTAGGGAGGAAGAAGAATGCTAACTCCTGTTTGCTTGTTGGCTCGCAGCAGTAAGAGCTTCTACTGAAAGATGGGGCTTCTTCAGCTCTGCATGAGTTAAGCTCAATCTCTCATTGGTTCAGCAGCTTTAATGCAACAAATAAATGTAAAAATGTGTGAATTTGGGACATTTATTCTGCCTGCTGCTAGCATGTTCTTGTGCTAAACGGAAGTTACCCTCTTAATATTTCATTTCTAACTATGACTTCCCCCTGTGGTTGTTAGGAACAATCCATTGAAAAGCTGCGCCTTCTTATAAGCTGCATGGTTCAAAGCGTGGGAAAAAAGTAGCAGCTTATAGTCCGGAAAAACAGATTTTAATAAATTGTTACCAATGCTGCACCTGAAGAAACAATTCATTAAAATTTGGTAACATCCAAGTTTTAGCCTTTAAGGTATAAGTCACCATTCAGGGTAAAATGAGATGCATAGCAGAGGTCTGCATTCTCTGAGTTCTTCTGTAGTTTATAATGTGATAATGTTCCACTTTTTCCATTTTTTAATTGCACGAGTAATAAGAATGCAATTATTTGCTGAAAGCAAAACTTATTTTCACTCTGTGGATGATTCTACATTTCTGCACATTCCTCCTTTACACAGCAGGGAGACTCACGTCCGTCTCTGAGGGGCTGTACAGGTAGTTGAAGAAGATGGGGCTCCTCCGGTGCATCCTGTTGATGCAGTCCCAGATACAGATGCCTCTCCGGGCCTGCTTGTCTCCTCTGTCCTCAAAAAGCAACCCTGTTTGAAACAAAACATGTTAAACCCGCGACCTGAAGCAAAATAACAAAGAAGTTTTGTTAATGTTGGAGAAACTGATTCTTCTAATTAGAAATAAAGTCTCCTTCAATGATACCATGTATGCAGAAGTTTAAAAAAAGCCACAACAGTTCAGTTCTATTTAAATAGTTTTTTTCCAGCAACTTTGGGAAAAAGCCATGAGAAAATCTAACAGATAAAAGGTTAACAATAAAACCACAAATATATTCATCCGACTCAACTAATAAAAAACAATTTATGATCCCTCAATTTTTTAGGTTGATTTTTTTCACATTAAAAACACAAACTTCAGTATCTTTGATTCTTATTCCAACACTAACAACATATTATGAGGTGGAGGGAGATTTTGAGTGGGCACTCATTCAGACTGGCACAGGAATAATTCCCACAGCATGATACTGTCACTCCCATGCTTCTACTGCGAAACCTGCGTAACATTCGCCCCCAAAATACTTCAAATCCATCAAAAATTGAGCCTAGCATTTCTGCTGCACAAATTTCAGATAGTGCCTTTAGTTTAATTTTAAAATGTACCAAAACTGCTATCATTCTGTGCAAAAATAAGAGATAAAAGGTCTGTTACTTTTTAATGTTTGATAGTTCAAAGTGTGCCATAGTTCTATCCCTAACACATGATCTAAAATCAATGTGATAGCTTAGGTAACAACACGATGTTTTCTACATGCTCACCCCTAAATCATGTAACAGTGCTGTATCTAGAAGTTGACCAAAGATTTATTATGCTTTTAGGAGCAAACTTTGGATATTTCAGGCATATCGAGTCCCATTTTCCCTCAAGGTAAGGGCTGAGTAAGATACAGAGATACAACTAAAAGATAAGCAGCGTTTCGTAAGGACACAGAATTAGGAAACGTTAGAGTGACCCACAGCATTAAAATATCACCTAAAAAAGCTTCAGGGACGTAAAGTCAACCATACTTTTATTTATTCATTAAAATGGGAACATTTCTAAATTCTAGAGTAGCCAAACATTTATCCTTAAATGGTCTTTGACATTTTTCTTCAAATCCACAAATGATGCAAAGAATTTCTTAATCTCAATAGAAAACAGAAGAACATCATAGCTGGATAATTCAGTCTCAAGTCCAGACCATCTGGATCTAGTTCTCTATCTGAACCTGGCATTGTCTCAATTAGTTGAATTGACATTGATTACAGCTCTGAGTGACGCTGGATCTCCTGTCAGTCACGGTCTAAACGCAGGAGTCGTATATTCTGTCACAGCCTTGCAGCAGATATCTGATCGACTGTTAATTCGCTGAGAAACTCTGCATATCATAAACAACTAGTGGCTTTGCTTCCAAGCAATTCCACTAAAGCTAAATTTCCTCAGTTTGTTCGTGCTTAAAAAAATCCAAACACATGTTAGTAAAGAGAAGATATTGACTGTCCAAGCATGGGATATTTTATAGCTTAGCTTTAACTCCTATGCTGACCTGTCCATGTTGCCGTTTCTTCGCTATTTAGGTGACTTTCAAAGTCAGCATGTTGCACTTGATTTCACCTGGATTATAACCAATAATCTTGTCATTGATTCATTGCATATTAATCTAATCCCATATATTGCAGTTTAAGGTTTTAATAACAGAAAAGGGTGTGAATACTTTTGCAAGGCGATGATAGTTACGTGAGACCTGTTTTTGACAATATTATTTCTGTTGCCATATTTTAGCATAAAGATTTGAATTTCCAATTAGAAAACAGTCATGTATGTTTTAAACTTTACTGACCATGCTCCAAACGTTCATAGTCTGAGTCCAGCAGGAAGTTCTTGAAGCGGTTGGAGTTGTGGTGATAGGCCAGGAACTTTATATAATACTGATTAAACTCAAACTCAAGAGGATGTTGGTCGAGAATCTGCAAGGACAGAAAAAAAAGAAAGAGGAAGAAAAAAATAAGATTAAGATGTTAAGAGTCCAGGAGGGACTAAAATATGTTTGTATGGAGGACAGCTGAGAGGCATCTCGGTGCATCAGCCTCACATCTCTCTGGCGTACAAATTAGAAACAGGAAAGAGCATCTCCTGTCCCCTCAGAGGTCAGACACAATTCAGACTGAGCTAGCAGGGCTGCGGATCTATTGTTCCCATCCAGCGGTATGAAGTGGCCAACAAGAGTGTTGAATATCTGAGGCCACCTGGGTCTACTGGCAAAAACAACAGCTGTTTAGGAGATGAGGCATTTCTATTTTCAGCTCTTGTCCGAATCCCCTCTCTCTTCCGTTTATAACCCTCCAGACCCCAGAAACCCCGCCAACCCGCCTTATTTGCCAAGCATGCACTTTGAAAAGACAAATGCAGAAACTATGCGTTGATGTAAGTGTAAGGGAGTGGATCTTTAAGTCCCCATGAGACTCCCCCCTCACAGCATTCTTCAATTTGAGCTTTTCAGAGAGGATGGACGGTTCTGGTCCTCAGCTCTGTGAGATTCATTCTTAACTCTGTTCCCTCGAATCTCAAAAGCCTGAAGCAGACTAAAATCCTCCATTCCTCCACTTTTTTCCTTCCCCGAAACATCCAGAGTACAAAAGTGAATAAAAAGTGCACAATAAAACCCAGTCAGCTCATCTCTGATCCCTGAGGTTAGGAAGCATCTGGGAAGCAGCCTGCCTCTGCACACTTTTAGATGCAATAAACTGTAGAAAACATTTAATTAACAACCGCTGAAATGCTCAACCTTTTAACTCGTCTCTTTATTCCTGAGGAATCCCAAGCAATTCATGAATGAAGCTAAAGAGGAGGAGATTCAGCAGCTTGATGATGGACGTGCGTAAAAGCTCACCTGGTGCACGCAATCGAGGAACTGCAGGAAAATAGGAGTGAAGCCACTGCCCTGGCTGCTTGGACTCAGATTGCTCCTCTGGCTGAATTTATGGCCAAATGAAAGCCACTCTTTCTCCAGGAGCACCTGAAAACCTTCCAGGGTGCGATAGAAGGGATCGCTCAGCAACTGGACCAACGAAACAACCTGAGAAGAGAAACGACTGATTAACAGCTAAAAGATCAGCTGCAACCGTGGTAAAGATATTACTGTTCCTTCTGTCTCTTCTCTGTTATATGGTTTCTGGTTTTTATAAATGCAAAGATAGATGCATCCTCACAGGGGAGAGACCAGTGGGAAACTCAGAAATTAATTGACCAACTTGGAGTGACACAACCCAACATGATGGAGGTTATTGCAGAATAAAGAAAACTTATAGTTTATCCATTCACAATCAATTAGATATAAAAAAAATAAAGTCAGATTGAGCATAAAGATGTAGAGCCAATTAATAAACCTAATTAAATAAACCAGACATGTCTGCAGCTGTCGGTTTCAAAGCGTTGTCAAACGGATGGTTTCCAAGAACCAATACCCGTTATACATCAATCTGGTTTAAAGGGAAATAAAATAAAATCCAATTAACATGTTTTTGATGCTCATACTATCAAAAACTTGTAAGTAAAGGCTTTCTTATAAGTAAGATCTATAAAAAGCTTAAAATGTGAATAGGAAAAGATTTAGTATTTGTGTAAATAAATAAAACCCTGTTTAACAGAATCTGCTGAGGCAAAGTTTTACTTCTGCTGCTTATGCTAGAAAACAAAAGTCATTTTAATGCTGTTTTTCAAGAGAAAACTAAACAACTCAACCTGGTATCAGCTGTATTAAAACAGGACATCAAAAATCACCAACCAAGTGGTGATTGGTGCATTTTCAGCTTCGACAGACTAATACTGAGAAACAAAAAAACAAAAACCTGCACATGTGCAAGTAATAAACTGTCCACAATACAATCAGCGAACTGAATGTTGATCCTGAGAGAGCATTTTAAGAGCAAATAGGAGCATTCCTTTACGCTGATGATGCACTAAATGATTAAATATAAAATGACTGGAATGTTTACAACCCCTGCAGAGTGCATTAAGCCACGTCTCTGTTCCAGATGGGACGTGCCCTATGTGAGGAATCCTCAAAGCAGCAGCCTGATGCCGGACAAGCCTCATAAACACCGAAGAACACCAGCACCGGTCGCCATGGAAAACATGAGCTTAGATAACAAACAAACAATCAAAAAAAGGCTAAGATTCTGAGTGCGGATTGGGACTTAAACAGACGTGTTGTTTACATACCTACAGAAACAGAACCATGAGCCTTGAAACCAAGATTAGAGACAAGTGATTCAGTGGAGCGAGGTTGCAAACCTCAACACTTTTTTATCATATCTGGATATCAGGGAAGGAGCCGATAGAAGATGAGCAGGAATAGCAGAGATGGCAGATTTATGAGTCACACATGGCTGACTCTGAGGTGCAGTGTGAAGGTTTCTGCTTTCAATCTCTATAAACGACACCGACACGATGAGGTATAACACGACAGGATTCATCAGCACGGCTACACAAGCTAACGATGTTTGGGAAGTAAATAAAATCAGCACGGACTGCTGACACTTTACCCAAAGAAACCTATAAAACAGATCCGCAGCACAAATCAGAGGCTGGGATCTAGCTGAAGTATGAACAACACATCTTTATCAGCAGATCTGCAAGAAGCCTCTGTATGTGCTGATTTGTGTTTTCTTAAGGAGGCGTTAACGCTGTTTTCTCACTTGTGTGGTGATGTCCCAGCCGTCCTCCAGACTGAGCAGAACAGATGAGCCGCTGTCCAGAAGCTCTACCAGAGATAAGGCCAGCTGCAGGATCTTGTGAAGCTGTAAGGAGTTTACAGATGTGCATGTGAGCAAATATTCAAATAGATACATAAAATGGATCCACCCTGCTGGACCTATTGCCATGTTTGGGTCGGGGTAAAAGGGCTCATTCAGCATTGCTATTTTCCCACAGATTGTATTCCTTAACTGTGAATGCCCAGTGTAAGGCTGCAGGGGGCCAATCAGATGCTCTCAGTCCTTCTGTAAGAATGTGTTTCCTTTGGGAAAATGGCTTCAGGGAGGATTTATTCACATTATTTACCCATGATGTGAACCTGCTATACAGGATGACCCTTTCAGTGCCACATAACATATAGCCCGACTGCCAGAGAATATCCTGCTGGAGAGGAGGAAGAAAAGGAAGTGTAGGCTGTTGGTCACCTGCAGCATCCACTCAGAGTCCTCCAGGGCTTTGAGGAAGGAGTCCTCCGAGTCGGTCAAGGGGGCACTGGGGGCGCAGGCCGTCAGCAGCTTTTTGAACGCAGCCTTAACCTGACGAGCATCTACAAACTCCACAGGCACCAGCTCACAGCTCAGTGAGGAGTCCAGTCTGAGCCCCTGGGTTCAAACAGCAAAGGAACATAAGCACACTGCTAAAAAGATGTCTTAAATTAATTTACCCCCAATTTGAGTAGGTAAATTAGATGATTTGCCAATGGAATGAGACTTTTTTACTCTTAAAAAAAGATAGAAAATATGCACTTGAAATAAGACGATGCAATTGTTTTTTCTTATTTTAAACATAATTGTCCTGTTCCATTGGCAAAATGTTTCACTTACCTTCTTAAATCAAGAAAAAATGCACTATTTAAGAAAATATGACTTATTTAGATTTCAATTATTTGCAGTGCAACACAATCAAAGACAAGAAGTTGATCAAAGAAAATGCTTTGAGGTTTTATTATTACACCTTTAGTTCCTTTGTTCAAAAAGACCCTTCATGAAAATTCTATCAATTTTTGAAAGTAATGAATCAATTTATGATTATTATTATTGCCAATCTAATGGTATACACCTCATTTACCAGTTTTCTTCATTACAGTGCAGCATAAAGAACCTGGGGGATTGTAATAGTAAAAAATAAAACATCTAAAAACTGTTGAAGCTGATTATTGTTTTTGAGTTTTTATTAATTGTCAACTAATTTAGTGATTGATTAATCATTAACTGAAGTATAGAGAATCATGCCTTTAGCTGACAGAGTGACCATCTTAAAGCAGTAATTATACCAAAATTCTAAAAGAAATATAGAAATATTTTGCTTTTAGCTTCACCTGGAAGGAAACCTTAAGGAAAATTTTCTGATTAATCGATTCATAGAAAAAATAAATCAACAGATTAATCAATTAGCAAAATAATTGTGTGCTGTCCTCGCCCTGAGTTTTCCAATTTTTCAGCAAGCTAGACAGCCAGACAACGACGCTCCAATAACCAAACTTCTTTTCTCTTTTTACTTGTTTATTGAAGAGTGGCCTCTGACCACTGCCATCACTTTAGCCATCGTAAGAACAAATCTTGTCTGAAACACAACGTCAAAGATATCAATCAGCTCATTTCCCAAATTGTTTGGTGCTGCATTCCACCATCTTGGATCTACACCTTCTTTTAACGTCACCAAATAATATAGTGCATTATCCAGCAGGGGGTGCCCTAGTGCACTTTTCAACCAAAGAGGCAGCACACTCCCCGCCTGGTACAATACAATTGTGCCACTACAGCAATCTTTTCCATAAACATTTTGAACCGTTTATAGCTATAACACTTTAACTTTCATCTGATAATAGCAAAACCATATCAGTAACGGGTCTCAAAAACACTTTTTCATTTCCGTCTGTTGCAGTTTTTACTTCTGCTTTCCGAACCTTATTGTCCTTGCTCTCAAATGTTCTCAGAACTTTTCCCATGGACCAGTTGTTTCTGTGAGCGAGAGCATCTTTCAGTAACACAATGTCACCAACTTTAATGTTCGGTTTATCGTCAGTCCATTTCCTGCGTTTCTGCAAAGTTGATAAGTACTCACTTTTCCATTGTTTCCAAAAAGAGTCTGCAAGACACTGTACTTGCTTCCATTGCTTTGAGTATAAGTCTGGAGATGCAAAGCTTCCCGCTGGTGCAGATAGCGCATTCGTCTTATGGGTGAGAAGCATTGCTGGAGTGAGGAGGTTTGGTTTATCCGGATCTGTTGAAATTGGTACAAGTGGTCTTGCATTTATTATTGCCATCACTTCGGCCATGAATGTACTTAACACTTCATGTGTGAGTTGGATGTGTTTGGCTTTCAAAAGAATTCCGCCCAGGATGCGCCTTGCCACTCCGATGAGTCGCTCCCACGATCCACCCATATGTGAGGAGTGAGGAGAGTTGAACAGCCATGTGCATCCTTTCTCCAGCAGGTAAGAGTTCAGCTCTGTGTCTTTATGGTCAATTTGCAGTTCATTGCATGCTCCAATGAAGTTTGTCCCTCTGTCAGAGCGTAGCGTTTGGGCAGGTCCACGGATGCAGAAGAATCTTCTTAGGGCATTAATAAAGCTTGATGTTGACATTGATTCAATCAGCTCAATGTGCACAGCTCTTGTGGACATGCAGGTAAAAAGTACAGCCCAGCGTTTGCTTTCAGCACTCCCACCTCTGGTGCGACGTGTAGAGACTGTCCAGGGCCCAAAAACATCCAGCCCCACACTAGTGAATGGTGGCATGGTTGACAGTCTGTCAATGGGTAAATCTGCCATCTTTTGAATTTGCATTTTTCCTCTAAGTTTTCTGCAGAGGACACATTTGTGAATGATGGAAGCAATAAGCCTTTTACTTCCAATAATCCAAAATCCAGCTCCTCTGAGGGCTCCTTCTGTTATGTGACGTCCCTGATGTGCCACTTTCTCATGATAATATCTGACAAGAAGGATAGAAATATGATGAGACTTTGGAATAACAATAGGATGTTTCTCCTCTTTTGTTAGGTTAGCAGGTGCCAAGCGACCTCCTATTCTGAAAAGTCCTTCCTCATCAATGACAGGATTCAACTTTTGGAGACAACTCTGCTTTGGAAGTGGCTGATTTGTTTTTATGCACCTGAACTCCTCTTTGAATTTTTCACTTTGTACAGTGTGAATAATAAACTTGGCTGCTTTAGAGACTTCTCCTGCAGTGTTACTGTCGCTGAAACACTTCCAGCCTTTACTTTTTGTGTCTGATTTCTTGAATGATGCTGCCACACGCTTTAGTGATGCAATAGTGCGACACAATCTCATCCAATGAGAAAATCTTTCAAAGCGAGATGGTTCCAGCTGCGTTACTGAGGTTTTGGTAACAAAGGTTTTGACATCATGCCTGATCTCTGCATCCGTTTCAGGGTCAATGAGAGTAAAACTATCACAGCGTGATGTCTCAATATCATGTAATGTCAAAAAGGAAGGGCCACTAAACCAGTTTGTGGAAGCTAATGTGGAAGCTGAAATCGGTCTTGTGGCTGTGTCTGCTGGATTGTCCAAAGTGGATATGTAAAACCACTGTGCTGGATGAGTGGTCTTCCTGATTCGAGCCACTCGGTTGGCCACATAGGTATAGAATCTCTTTGAGCTGTTATGTATGTAACCAAGGACGATTTTACTATCTGTGAAAAATCTGACGGCGTCCACTTCAATGTCCATCTCATCTCTAATGAGTTCATACATTTCTACAGCTAAAACTGCTGCGCATAATTCCAACCTAGGAACTGTATGAGCGGGTCGAGGGGCAACTTTGGACTTGCCAATGATGAAACCTATGTGCCACTGACCTTCATTGTCGAGAGCTCTCAGGTATGCGACTGCTCCTATGGCCATGATGGAGGCATCTGAAAATATACATAGTTCTCTCCTTGCAGCTATGGACTGGGAGAATGAAAAGTAGCACCTTGGTATTTGTAGCTCCTCCAGATCCTTCAAAGAATTTCTCCATTTATCCCATTCCTCTTCTCCTTCTGCAGGAAGTGATTCATCCCAGTCTTTTTGTTCTGTGGATAGGTCACGGAGAAGAGCTTTTCCCTGCATTGTGATGGGTGAAACAAAACCTAACGGGTCATATAAACTGTTAACAGTGGCCAAGACACCTCTTTTGGTGAATGGCTTTTTCTCAGTTGTGGCATGAAAGGTGAAACAATCCCTTTTGAGATTCCACAGCACCCCTAAGCTCCTTTGCAGGGGCATGTCATCCAAATCCAAGTCTTTTAGATCTTTGGCTCTTTCTGCAGCAGGAAATGCTTCTACTACTTTCTGATCATTAGAGGCTATTTTATGTAGCTTCAAATTAGCCTGAGCCAGCATGCTTTGTGCATTTGTAAGTATTTCAATGGCTTCTTCTTTTGTTGCTTTGGATGAAAGACCATCATCAACATAAAAATGTCTCATTATGAAATGCTTTGTTTCCTGGCCAAACTCTTCTTCTCCTTCAACTGCGGTGCGTCTCATACAGTAAATAGCCACAGCTGGTGATGGACTATTACCGAACACATGAACCTTCATTCGGTAATCACAAATGCTTTTGTTGGTATCATTATCCACATACCAAAGAAATCTTAAATAATCCCTATGGTCCTCTCTCACTTCAAAACAGTAAAACATTTGTTGCACATCAGCTGAAAATGCTACTGGTTCTTTTCTAAAGCGCATTAGAACGCCTATTAGAGTGTTATTTAGGTCGGGTCCCCTTAATAAAACTTTGTTAAGGGACAGTCCTTCAAACTCTGCACTTGAGTCAAAAACCACTCTCAGCTGGTTAGGTTTTTGTGGGTGGTACACGCCAAAAGATGGTAAGTACCAGTGTTCTTTGTCTGAGTCCAAAGGTAAAGCGACCTCTGCGTGATCATTGTCCAGCATGTTTTGGATGAACTCTGTATATTGTCTCTTCATTTCAGGCTTCCGGTCCAGTGTTTTTCTGAGGGAATGGAGACGTTTAAGTGCTTGCTCTCTGTTACTTGGAAGCTGTGGTCTAGGAGAACGGAATGGCAAAGGTGCCACCCAGCTATTTCCTTCATTCTGGTACACCTCCTTTACCATAATGTCAATAAACTCTTTATCCTCTACTGACAGTGCTGGTTTATCATCATCTTTTGTTCTGTCAAACACTGTTTCTCCCAGTTGATTTGTAGCTGTTTTTTTAACATCCTTTTGGAAGGCAGATGTATTGCTGGGTTGGTAATTGCAACCACTTGACTCCTTGACTTGAAACAGATTAGGACATGGGGAGAGGTAAGAGGAACGGCCATTCTGAAGAACATGTGTTTTGAGCACATTCACATTATAGGATATATGTGTCTTCCCAATGCAGGCTTCCCCAACTATAACCCAGCCTAAATCTAAACGCTGTGCATAGGGCATACTATGTGGCCCATTTATTCTTTCTCTGACCTTATGCACCTGAATAATGTCTCTTCCCAAGAGCAAAAGAATAGGTACCTGTTCTTCTACAGGAGGCACTTTTTCAGCTATTTTCTGTAAGTGTGGGAACTTCATAGCAACTTGTGGAGACGGAATCTCTCTTCTGTCGTCAGGAATCAGGTCACACTCAATGAGGTTTGGAAGTGGAAGCTTTACTCTACCATCTATTGACTCAATTGTGAAGTTTAATGCCGTTCTGCCAACATTATTTGACAGTCCTGAGCATGTCCTCAGCTTGTAAGTGTCTGAGGGTGTCTTTATATTAAAGAGCTCAAAAAACTGAGACTTAGCTAGAGACTTGTTACTTTGTTCATCAAGCACTGCGTACATCTTTCTTGCCAGTTCTCTTTTTCCTTCTGGGTAGACTAACACAGGACTTATTTTTGAACAAGAATGTGGGATATCTACATCACCACAGACTTCTGTGCACTTAGAAACAACTGAGACATTTGTACTATCTGTCGTCTCCCCGCCGTCATCTTTATCACTTTCATATTTCTCAGCTGGAGCAGGGGGTGGACCTGGATGTAGCACTGTTAAATGTCTGTTGCTGCCACAGTCCATACATTTTATTTGCACCTTGCAGTCCCTTGCTAGATGCTGGGTAGAGCCACAGCATTTAAAACAGATTCTGTTCTCTTTTAAGAATGACTTGCGCTCATCTATAGGTTTTGCTCTGAAACTTTTACATTTTTTAAGCGGATGAGGCTTTTTATGTATAGGACAAACCTTGTCAGGACTTTCTACAAGCTTACTATAACTAGTTTGAAATGAACTAGCATCTATAGGGATGTCTGTTTTGTGTACAGTAATCACTTGCCTGTTATTGCCTTTGAAGCTTTTCTCCTTTTTTAAGCTTGTGTCTGCAGGTGTGATATCAAAGCTTGGGTCATTTCTTATTTTTGCTTGTTGTCTTACAAACCTTGAAAAAACACTGAAAGGGGGAAAGGCAACTTTATGTTCCTCCTTGTACTTTGCACCTATTGCGATCCATTTTTCTTGTAATCCATAGGGCAACTTCTCCACAATGGGATTTACTCCACGAGCTGTGTCCTAATATGAGAGCCCTAGTAAATATCCTCCATCTTTTGCACATTCAATTTCCTGCAGAATGTCACCCAGGTCTCTTAGCTTTATGTTGTCTCTGTTGTTAAGTTTGGGAAAATGTTCAATTTTTTTTAACAGTGCATTTTCCACTATTTCAGGAGAACCATATGATTCCTCCAGTCTTTGCCACACAAGGTCCAGTCCTACAGTTGGATTGAAAACGTTAGCTGAGCGGATTCTTTTTGCTTGTTGTCCAGACTCAGCTCCCAGCCATTTAACCATTAAATCTAGTTGTTCTTGGGCTGTAACTTTCAAATCTTTAATAGCATTTTGAAATGACATTTTCCATGACCAGTAATTCTCTGGTTGGTCATCAAACTGCAAAAGTCCTGAACTTAACATTTCTCTTCGTGTAAGGTATTTAGTAATCTCCTGTACACCTTGTGCCTCTGTTGATGTTTGAGGAGTGTGGAAAGGATACAGTTTGGGGGGGGATAGTCTCTCTCTGTGTTGTTCTATATGTGCCTCTTTAGGCTTGGCTGTTTTTGCTCGGTGTGAGCTGGTATTGTCCATTTCTTCCTTCATGGCTTGTTCACACTGTTCACGTGCAGCCTTATGACAGGCGAGTGGATTTACTGACAAGGTGAAGCCTTCAAAACTAATGCCTGAATGTTTTTGTACATACTCTGCCGTACGCTGCTTTGGGCTAGCAGGTGGTTCCACTAATGGACAGTACTGTTCTTGTTTTGAGAGAACCTCCTCCTCTTCATAAACTGCAACTTCTGCTTCTGCAGCTGCAACAGCCTTCTGAGAATCCAACATAAGCAAATTAGCCTCAAGCTCAGTTTTCTGCTTCATTATGGCTGCTTCTTTTTCTGAAAACACCAACCGAGCACGTGCAGCCTCTGCTTTTGCTCTTGCTTTTAATGCTGCAGAACTTGTGGATGAACGTTTGGACTTATATGAGCGTGAAGACTTAGAACTTGTGTCTGTATTGCTTGCATTATCCTTGTTCTCCATGTCATCTGCTTTACCTGTCTGTAGGCTCATGCTTGATGTGCTGAAGATATCCTTATGGTTGTGGCCCGCTGCGCTTTGTTCTTACTGTGCTGTCCTCGCCCTGAGTTTTCCAATTTTTCAGCAAGCTAGACAGCCAGACAACGACGCTCCAATAACCAAACTTCTTTTCTCTTTTTACTTGTTTATTGAAGAGTGGCCTCTGACCACTGCCATCACTTTAGCCAATCGTAAGAACAAATCTTGTCTGAAACACAACGTCAAAGATATCAATCAGCTCATTTCCCAAATTGTTTGGTGCTGCATTCCACCATCTTGGATCTACACCTTCTTTTAACGTCACCAAATAATATAGTGCATTATCCAGCAGGGGGTGCCCTAGTGCACTTTTCAACCAAAGAGGCAGCACAAATTGTTAGTTGCAGTCCTAGTTTTTATATAAACCATTTTGTCCAAAGGTGATTGAATGTTTGTCCTTTGATGCAAAGAAATACTCCCCAGATTGGAACTCTTCTATGATTTCTCGGCCTTTATGAACTTTAGATGAATCGTCCACACAGGTGACACTTTCTTATTTGCAGGAGATGAAATTTTAACAAGATAAATTTCCTCTTTCTTTAATCAGCACAGCAGTTAATAGACCCAACAAGAAAACTTTGCAATTGCCAGGGATGGCACAGCCTGTTATTCACTCAATATTTGGAAAGACAACTTTGGACATGACCAAAATATGAGTGTTTGACACTTCAGTGCTAGAACTGCCTCTAACACAGCTTCCAAGGAAGCTCAAATGATTTGAACTGAACTGCATGCTATGTTACTTCATGTTCTGCCATAAATGCCACCTCATTGTCGGACAGTGACAGACACCGACTTGTTAGGTTGCACGCGGAGTGAGGATTTCTTTAGATCACTACAACTATGTGACCACCACAAGCTTCACAGCTAAGATATAAAATAATCAGAACAAAGTGTGACTCAACAACAAAGCTTCCTGCAACATAAAACAATCCATGTTGATTCATACAGGCTGATTATTCTCTTTCTCACCCGCAGATTTGACTTTTCTCCAAAGATGTAAAAAGCAGCCTGATGCTTCCGCAGTTGAGCCTGCAGACTGATGCTTCCTGCAGGGGGCGCCAGATTCTTCCCTGCCTGTCTGGTGCCCAAGTCGCCCTGTGATAGATGCTGAGATGACCTGCTGCTTGAGCGGAGACTGGCCCACATGCCTGCAAACAGAGATCATCCCCCACCAAAGAAAAAATAAGTTACATAGATTCACATGGCTGCAGGAGGTAGCTTGTCTGAGTGGCACCGGTTTACACATGCTGTCAAATAAACTAGAACTGAATAATGTGAGACATGCAGACTACATTGGCATGCACAGCATTTTGAATGACATTAACCCCTTCGTGTCGTGTGCGTGCCAGCAAAGCAGTTACCTCTGTGGATCTGAGATATTAGAAGCAGAAGTTGCTGGGATTCTTAGCAAGTCAACCAGACAACTAATTTCTACATAAGCCAGCAAGCCATAACGTTCAAACATCATAAATAACAAGGAATGGGACTTTTCTCTAAAATCGCCATCAGGCTTTTTAAAATTATGTATTTTTTTTAACTTTTGACAGTAAATAATGAAAGTCTTTAAAAAGCGGAAATTATCATTTAAACTTAAATCCCTTAATGTGTTGAATTTAAAGTCCGGTTTAGTTTAAAACCGATCCAGCTTTGTAAGCAGACTCTCTGTAAAACTGTTGATAGAGATGATTAGCTAACTGTTTAAATTTAAAGCTTGACCTGATGAAAGGGTCAAGATGCTGAAATGACTCAGTGATAAAAAAAAATAGAAACAAACAAACAAAAATCCCTTGCGTCATAAAGAAATATTTGCAAGTCTTTTATTCCCTAGCATGCAGAGTTGTTGTTTAGCTAACATGTCGTCTCCTAACTGCAGCAGTTTCATTTTGTTTGACTCTTGTTTCATGACGAATGGCTTCCTCTCCTCGTCGCTTTGGTCCCGGCTCATAGCTGACCACAGCCGTGCTGAGCCAAGTCATGAACAAAAGAAGAGACCGCATCAAAGCAGCCACTCTGGCTTTAGAAAAACCACAGCTCCCAGAGGAGCAGCCGCAAAGTCAGCCACCATTAGTAGGTCGTTCTATATGAGAGCTTGGCAGCATGGTGAGCTGTGTTATTTGACCTGGTTAGTGAGCGTTTGTGTAGATTAGAGGATGCAGAGAGGCTGAGGCTTGACAGATGTGCCAGAAAGGAGGGGAAGCAACAGTTTCACTATACCTTGGTTGTGGGCTCTTTCCTTACTGGCAGGTTTTTGGTTTGAGGGAGCAAATAGTTTGTCTCTGTACTCAAGCACTGGGTATTTGATGGGTATAGAAGAGAGGATGAGGCAAAATTAACGTCACCAACCAAACTTATAACCTCACAAACATGCAAAAAAAACAAAACATAGTGGGTTGGACCATATGAATAATAATTTTTTTAATGATGGGGAGGATGATTGCCATACAGTAGCATGCATGAATGAAGTGGAGTTTACCCAGCAACAAAAAAAAAAAACGATTTAGGTTTATTTAGTGCAGAGCAGATGTGAGACCATTGCTCTGCAGAGCGGTGATGGTTGTTACATGAATTGCGCCCTTTTTTTTTATGCAGCTGAGCAGAAATATCAAAAAATATCATCATCTGATAACTGATGGGGATAAATGTTTTCAGCAATTTTCAGAAAACTGAAAATCTCCTAATTTCGCCTCTGCACACACTGCATAAAATAAATGGATCTAAATGTTTTCTTCATGCTTAAGAAACTAATTTGATTCCTTAGAAAGTCAGTGGTTATGAGGAGGTTAGCCTAAAATCTAAATAGTCCAAAATTCAAACCACTGTGAAAGGTTGTGCAACAAAACCAAAAACATTTGATCCAAATCATCCTCTTAAGGTAAAATGCTACAATGGAGATGTATGTAAACTTGAGCTTATAACAATAAAACTTTTCTAAAGAAGATTCTACAGAAATACATTTAGTAACAGCGAATTAAAGCCATCAGAATAAAAGTTATGGACCTTTTTATATATTCTATGGTTAAAGTGGAAAATGACAAACTAATGCTTCTGTAACCTCTCTATAACAATTGGCCCATTTTAGAACATCAATTACGATAAATGAGATACCAACTTTAGTCATCAGCAGTGCTTTGGATTTATTACACGTCACACCACAGATTCATATCCATTATTTATCTGCATTTTCTACTTATCTACATTTTCTACATTTTTTTAATGTCATTACGCCCCTCCAGGCTTCGCCTCTCTGGGCAGAAAGCCATATCCCCCCATGTAAAAAATGACTGAAAAACTGCTGATTCAAGCCAGACTTTCATTTTTTAGTAACAAATAATTTATAGTTTAAATAGTTTCATGAAGATAAGGCGATGCACCCTTACTATTTTGAGAAGACAAAAATAGTATCAAAAGACATTAAAAAAAATAATAATTATATCTGCAGATTACCAAATATTTTCAGAAGGTTTTTCTTGGATACAGTTATCGTAACTCAGTGGTGGAAAAAAAAAGAAAAAAAAGGGGGGGAGTAGAGCACTCGTCTTAAAAGAAAAATCTAGGAGGTGATGTGTCATGCCTTCATGAGCGCACTGGTAATCCGCTGAGTCAAGCTGAACAACATGGCTGCCTCTGACCTTTAATCTGAATGGGTGAGCAACAGCTAAGATATGAGACCAAAACACTGTATTTAGGTTTCTTTTCAAGAGTTCACATTCCAATACAAACAGTCACAATAACATATCAGCTTAGCGGTACATTCGGCCTACATCTGGAGAATAACATAACACTGAGTAAAATGTTTTTGAGCAACTTTCAAACTATCAAAAATAATGCATATTTAAATATATAGAAACTTTTTATTGAGTAATTTGGTAACGCTTTCTTTTACAGTACATTAATAACTATGCAATAACATGGTAATAATTTAGCAAGTAACATATTACTAGATAACAAGAAATATTTTATCGAGAATTTTGGTAAGCGCTGCGCTTTAAATTTTAGGCCGACAAGGTAAAGTCAGACTTCTTAGATGTCAAACCGTTATTACCGGTAAGTCAGTCATTTCACTGACAGCGATAAATTAATGTGTCTAGTAATCTAGTAAAATGCAATTTATTACTTTGCATATAACAGAAAATAAAGTTTTGTTGTTACCAAGTAATATAGTGGGACTTTCTATCTTATTACCATGTTTTTACATGGTTATTGGTGTACTGTAAAAGAAAGCGTTACCGTAATTTTTTCCCTACACAAAGAAAAAGTATTTTTTCCACACAGAATGAATTGAAATTTGTGGAAATGATCATTCCAGCCGCTTCATGATCCCCATTAATCTGCTCAACGTGACTATGAAGGATTGGAGGAGAGCTGCAGTGTTGATGTGACACTCGTGCTTCATATTTCACCTGAGCAGAACCACACACAACGCTGGATATTGTTTTTCCAACGACAAACACTCACCTCCTCTCGTGAAGCTGTTTGAGAATGAGATATCTAAGTGGACGGGAGCCATCTTGGATAACCGCGACGTTCTTCTTTCACTGCCTGAGGGTGAAAGAATGACACAGCAAACAGGATGTAAGTCGCACACTACATGTATAGAGTTACAGATTTAGTTGAGAAATTGATGACAACTGCAATCTCAGTGTGTCTACATCAGCTTACGGTAATATCATTTAGAAATTCTGAGTTATTTAAGTTTAATGTGCAGAAAGGAGGATATCGATACAGACAGGGCTGGTTTAAGTCAGAGGAAAAGAACGTACCAAGTGCAGACTACAGACTGTCCGGTTGTCCTGACATAACCTTATTATACAAATTTCCTTTTAAATCCTGAAAATATAAATAGTCTAATTTTTCCTATCTGTCTCTCTTACTGTATACAGACACAGACATATAAAGATAAGTGGATAAAAGATTAGTGCTGACCCAATTCAGAAAGGAAGAAAACGATTACCTGAGAACAAAGAAAGAAAAAAAAAAAAGAGGTGGAGCAAACAGAAATAACTTTGAGAAGTGCAAGTTTGCGTTTTTTCTATTTTTCGGAAGAAATGAACTCAAAGTGGCCTTTTGTCCTTTTGAAAAAAAGCCATGTTTTTTTTCCACATGGTTCCTCTGATGCTTCCCCTTGAAGCTAAATCAAGTTAGCTAGCGGGACAGGCAGCAGTGTAGGCAGCAGAGGTTCAATGATATTTCCTAGATTGGTTTGAGCCAAACAGCACTTTGCATGTAAATTAGACTTTATTTCTTATTTCAGACATCCTAACGTTGGAATAATAGTTGGATGTTTTTGCAGAGGTGGGTAGTAACTAGTTGTATTTACTCAGTTATATTTACTTGAGTAACTTTAAAAAAAAAATTACTTTTAGAAGTATAACTAATCTTACTTGAGTAAAATTTCTGGCAAAGCCATCCATTGAAGTGACTTCACTAAATAAAACAAGCTTGTTTTCCTAAAAATATGCATACTTCTTTGTCAGGGCTTATTGGTTAAATGTCATTTTTCATCTGCTGTCATGTTATTCAGAGATTGAGTGAAAATAAAGTAAACAGTAAACTGATTTAAATGATTTCAAGTGTTGTAACCATTGATTTGTTAAAGTTAAACTCAAAAAATGCATTTTAAAAGTGTTCATTCCACCTATATTTTGTATAGTTTAATTAGTTCTGCCTCATTCTTTAATATACCAGAATTTGTATATCAGTTAATATTTTATAAAATTTTACATAATTTTGTAATCAGTTGTTAAGCTTATGAGCATTAATAGATCAGTTACTCAGTACTTGAATAGCCTTTTTACCAAAAACATTTTTACTCTTGACTAATTTCGTTAAAGGTACAGAGCCTAATAATTACAGGAATTTACAGAAATGTCATATATTATCCATACGGATGTTATTTATTGTCATCAATGAACTGAAAGTCTTAATCTTTATGTTTGCCTTGCATTAGAAATTGTAATGTATAATCACATGGGAGCAGGTGTACCATTTGTGGAGGCAGACATCTTTGTGCTACAGCAGTGCAGAAACTGACAAACTAGAGACTGTTGTGATCTCCATTACAATGTGACTGCAGTGAGTTAGGCCTATAAAAACTAGATCCTAAACAGACTAATAAATAACTATTTCTAAACTTATCTATGTAAACTAGACTGAGACGGGCCATGATCGGCAACAGGCAGATAACTATGAAAACTAGAGATTTCAAGCACATGTTGAGTGTTTTTTCTTTCTCTTGCCCCTCGGTCCATGTCTGTTTTGATCAAAGTGCCCAAAACAGAGGGACGAATCAACCGTAGAGTCAGGGAATCAAAGTGAGAACAGCAACTGAGAGTGCCAGAACCAGTAGGCTACTAGGAGCAAAGGAACCATAGCGGTAGATGCGGCAGCTTGTTGTTGCTACACTGGAAAAAAATCTAAATAAGTCATTATTTCTTTAAATAAGTGCATTTGTTCTTGGATTGAGGAGGTAAAAGAGACATCTTGCCAATGGAACAAGACAATTTACACTTAAAATAAGGAAACACAATTGCATTGTCTTATTTGAAGTGAATGTTATCTACTTATCTTATTTTAAGAGTAATAATACTCCATTTGCAAATCATCTAATTTACCTACTCAAATTAAGGGTAAATACACTTAATTTAAGAAACTTTTACTTATTTCTAGATCGTTTTTCCAGTGTAGCTTAGAGCGCTTAAGGCCTGGGAGAGACTACAGTTGGTCAGGGCTAGTTAGAGGCTAAAGGGCTGCTTATACTCCAGCAGCAGTGTGTCACAGATATTTTTAATTTATGCCAATTATTGAAGCGTGTTCTGTGCTATGGTATTCCACGCCACAACACAAAAGGGACAATCACAAACTCGCTGTGGATCTAGATACGGCCGAGGCGGTGAGGAAGTGGCAGCTTGTTTATATGCCAACGGAGGGACATGAGGACAAAATAGACCCGCGATCCAGGAGGAAAAAGGACCCCATTGTTCTCGCGCACCTTGCTCTTCTAGCTGGTCCAATTTCACGAGTCGTTTTCCGCAATGGTGGTCATACAAAAAAACAAGCTCGAAAGGTACCAAACAGGAAATACACATAGTGTAGAGCGGCTGTAGATTTGATTGGATCTTGGATTGAAGCAGAACGGCAGAAGATTGGATAAGTCCGCCAGGCTGACAGAGGGCTGAAGCCAGGGGAGAGGAACTGCAGTTCATGTCACTGTAGTATGCAGTCTGACCTTTAGAAGGTGCTGAAAATTTAGTAATGTAGCTTACAATGCTTAATTTGACTTTTACTTGAATAAAAATGTGATGAAGTAGTGCAACTCCTACAGTTTTGGTTACTCTTGCTACCTTTGGATTTTTAATAGAATACATCTTTTCATCCAGAGAAACTTAACTGAAAAGAAACTATGACTTTAAAAAGTTGTAAAAGTTAGCATGCAATTTCAAAATATTATTATTAATGTCAAAATGTAAAACTAAGGTTTTGTTGATATGTTTTGATATCCTAACTTGCTTACATAGGCAGCCTCCAGCCTTTAGTTATGTGGGTTACTTTCTTTTTAAGAGAAGTGGAAACAAGCTTAGGTCATAATGCGACTCAGTCTGTCCTGTTAGGAAACCTTAAAGGAATAGTACACCCAAAACATGATTAGCCTTAATTTTCTACTCACCCCCATGCTGAACAAAACTCTGGAGTACTTTTTTGATATCTCAAATGCATCTGGAGATCTGGGAGGCTTCTTGCTGTCTGCTGACATTCAAATAATGGAGGTCTATGGTGACTGAGACAGAAAGGTCCATAAAAGTCCACAAAAACGTGTCAATATTCCTCCATACTGCTCGTCCAATGTAATCCAAGTGTCCTGAGTGGGTAGCGTCCATAATTTACTCGAAACGAAGTCATTTAGAACGTTTTAGAGCCTAAACAGTAGTGTATAGGATTTCCTAATAGCGCCCCCATGCGCGCTCACGATTCTACGGAAGCCGGCAGACCAAACCAGCGCATTCAGCTCGGCAAAGAACTCATGCTCTTCCTCAACACTGAAGTCCTCAGACATTTTTCTTTCGTTGTTTCTTTCTTTGCACAGGTAAACAGCACATTTCTTCTTCTACGCTTGCATTATTGGCAGAGCAGACGCTGAATGCGCACTTTCTTCCGGTTTGGTCTGCCGGCTTCCGTAGAATCGTGAGCGCGCATGGGGGCGCTATTAGGAAATCCTATACACTACTGTTTATGCTCTAAAACGTTCTAAATGACTTCGTTTCGAGTAAATTATGGACGCTACCCACTCAGGACACTTGGATTACATTGGACGAGCAGTATGGAGGAATATTGACACGTTTTTGTGGACTTTTATGGACCTTTCTGTCTCGGGCGCCATAGACCTCCATTATTTGAATGTCAGCAGACAGCAAGAAGCCTCCCAGATCTCCAGATGCATTTGAGATATCAAAAAAGTACTCCAGGGTGTTGTTCAGCATGGGGGTGAGTAGAAAATGAAGGCTAATCATGTTTTGGGTGTACTATTCCTTTAAGGTGTGTGAGCTGTCTTACTGGCAGTAGAGGCAGAGACCTTTGATCTGTTTGCTTTAAACAGCCCTTTCCCATGCCCCCAAGATAAGGAGCTAACTGATAACATTATAAACCGTCCTCCATTTACATACGACCGTTTTCAGCTACTGTGCAAAGCGGGCTGACCGGTAAAACTCTGTGAAAATCCATCTTTACTGCTCTGGCTGGATTATAAAGTCTGAAAACAATAACAAGTTCAGAGTGTAAAAGATATAAACACTAAAGTAGATCTAAAAGATAAGCAGAGTCAATGCATTGTTTGGAGTTGGTCATTTAAAGCAGACCGTGTTTAAATATTTGCAGCAAAGCACAGAGAAATCAGATTATTTTCAGTGTATTGTGTAATTTCTTAAGTTGATTTGTGCAGGTGAAAGAAATAAACGGGTATATTGTCTAAATCCCTGGCTTTCACACTAAGGCACAAATATCCCTGGTGGTTCTCATGCTGCTTGTTGTGACGTTTACATAATGTTTTGACACAATTATTTGCAAGATAAGTGATTGTGATTACATTTACTAAGAACACACTGTTTTTTTCAGGACACTTATCACTAATTTCTCACAATAATTTTAAGAACAATCTGCACAATTGACCAAAATATCAAACATGTGAGAAATGGAAACAGCCGCTGGGGTAAGTTAACCGAACTTAATCAAGCTTCCAGGTTTAAAAACCAGAGGAGTTTGCTGATTGGGGTTCTCAATAGCCATCCTTTCTATTATTAGTCACATAAACTAATAATGTGTTGCTTTGAATATCATGCTGCTTTCTTGCTTGGCAGCAACACCTTAACTAAAATAGATTGTACAGTAGAAAAATGTTTTTAAACAATAGTTCAGAAAATAGAGTGCAGGTAAGCACTAACATTAACTTATATGCAAGGCAGCCATATTTGATTTTTTTCACATTGGTAAGAAATCTCTGACTTAAACTTGGATTTGTAAAAATTTAGTCAGATTTTGGTTTATTCTTTTAAATGAAATTTGTGACACCTATTTAGACCAATCATGGAGAGCCAATCAATATCAATGTTGTCTTGTTTTTAATTTTCTTTGTTTCTGGGAAATAACACAAACAACTGACAAAAAAAACAAAAACAGAAAAACTCCCAAAATGTAAAAAAAAGTGGGGCCAAAATAACCAAAATAATATCTTACGTGGTGAAAGGCCGATGAGGGAGCGGTTGGACAGGGTGTTGGTGCCATTGGTTTTGAAGTAAATGGGGATGGAGTCGAGGATGGCTTGAAGATATTTCTCCTGTTCAAGACTACTGGATGAATCTGAGGAAGAAGCCGGTGCTGAAACAGAAAAAAAAACAACAGAAAAATTAATAACTAAACAGAAGTTTCATTTTTTTTCCCAACCAGGGAAATGTTTTCATCACATTTCTTTTCACTCTAAGCTAAAGTTACAGCAAACTAAGTGATCCACTAACAAAAAACGCATTTTTTTAAGGGATTTTTTTTTAGTGCCTCTTAGGAAGCAAACCCACATGCTGAGGAAGTATTCTGGGACTTGAACAGTCCCACCACACTCTTGCTGTGGAAGCCTCCTGAGCGCATTAACACAGCTCTGGTCCGTGGATGTTTCCAACACACAACAGGCAGACGGTTGTGCCTGTAGCAGCGAGCCACTTTGTGTAAACTGCTGTCCTGCACGGCCTGAGGAACAACCAGTAGCCCGGGGTAGCTGCAAAGAGAACAAGAAAAAGCAGTTAGAGTGGGGATGAAATAAAGCAGCTAAGTTGTAGATGAAGAGGCATAGGCAATCAGAGGGCTGCTGTACCTGCGGCAGAGAGAGTAGAGTCTGTTTACGGCTGTGATCCTGAACTGCTCGCCTGCTTTGGAACGAGATAGGCTGATGGTGATGGTGCCCAGACCCAGGCGCTGATAGTCCCGGAAACAGGACTGCTCCACCAGCTGCTCCATGGTGGACTTCTCCGAGGCTCTCAACGTGCTGCTGGGTGGTGGTTCACCATCATCAGATACTAAATCAAACACAAAAATTTGAGTTACATCAAGAAATGTTTTTTTTTTTTTTCCCCCCTTCTCTCCACGTTGATACTCTCACAGGTAGAAACATTTTTCCTCTCACTTGAAATGTCATCGTCTTCATGCCAGGTCGTCCGGCTGCCTCTGTCCATCTTCTTCAGTGAGCTCTGACTACCGCGGCCCATGGTGATCTTTCCTGCTCTCTTCGCTCCTTTAACAATAGTTTTAGACAGTGTTCTGTAGGGAAAACAAAGCATCTATTTAAGGTGATATTTCCTTCCACATGTGATTTGGTTTTAAAAAAACAGTTTTGCCTCAGGGCATTAGTGGGCATTGGCAGACCTAAAGCCAGTGTTTCTCTCTTTGGGTTTGGGAAGGTTCAGCTGAGGAGCTGTTTGTCCTGCTGCAAAAGCGAAGGAGCTGAAGATGGACTGTGGGTAGCGGATTCTCTGCAGGTGCTTCCTGAAGATCTCCACCATCTCCGAGCTGACCTCCTCATCAAAAGCTACTTTTATTAACTGCAACAAACAGACCGAAACATCATTACCGGAAAGTGGCATTTAAACAAACCATTAGACTTTAATAGGAGTCTGTGTTTGGGTTCAACAGCACCTGTGGAGAAACAAGATTGTGCACGTCCAGAGCGATCGTGCTCAGAGTCTTGAGTAAAATGACAGGAATGAACCGTAAACAGTTTTACAAGAGAGCAACTAAAAAGTACCAAAACATGCTTCACAAGAATAGCATCTCCCTTTGATTCTAAGAAGCTTGTTATATCCTAGACCACAGGGGTTTTATGTTCATACCCCCCTGAAGGTTGAACATAAATTTTATGTTGAACTTTTTTTTTTTTTCTTTTTTTGGGGGGGAATGCAAAACATAGCATTAACAATGCAATTTTCCTAAGAGATCAAAGCAAAACTTTCCAAATCAGCGCAATCAGGCTGTGATTCCCCCTCAGTTTACGCATTCACTAAGAGCGTTTGCATACAACCCATAGATTGTAGAATCTTTTCCAGAAAATTAATCCCTGAGCTCAGAGGGGTTCAGGTTAGATGACCCTGGGAGCCATTACACAGCTGATAACAGTTTGACCACAGCGCCAGGGAGGGTCTAAGGTCAGGGTCTCAAAGCGTGACAAAGTTGGAGTCTGCTATCCTGAAGGATGAAGTAACCCTGCACAGCAGGGGACACAGGATGGAGGAATGTGCACATGGAGGGGCTGCCAAAAAAATATATTGGCATTAAAACGACCATTGACTCTAATAATAACAATTTATACTCTCTGCTATAAACTGGCTGTTATATAATTGAATGCAGTTTGACCCAAATAGCTTAGGCATTTGTGTTTCTTTAAGACTCTCTCTCAGTCATTCTCAATAGGTGGTCTATGGAGGTCTGCAGGCTCTACTTTGAGTCGTAAAAAATGTAGTTTTATTCTTTAAACTTTTTTAATCAATTCTTGGTGCTGAAAGCTGATCAAGACAAATGTCCAATTAAAGAGGGGATAAATAAATGTTCTCTTCTATGGTATGGTGATGTTAAGGAAGGGCCTTCTGTTGGGCTCCCAATAATATACAACCTATTTTTGGGGATTTCTAGAGATTTATTTCTCCATTGTCCAAACTATGAAAGCACCTACGGTAGTTCAGGGGTCTGCAACCTTTAAATCCAAAGAGCCAGGGGGGAGTAGTAAGAGCCGTGTGCTTGTGCTCTGAGAGGGTTGTAAGTACTCGGTTTGATCCCCACAGCCTCCACTATGGGTTCCTGAGCAAGACCCTTAACCCCACACTGCTCTACGGGCACCACACAATGGCAGGCCACTGCTCCCCAAGGGGATGGGTTAAAATGCAGAGGTACATTTCTCCAATGTGAGATTAATTAAGTTCAGTTATTACAATTATCATTATTATTCTAACTGAGTATGGCTAAATATAAGTTTATTTATTTAGAGCTGCAAAATACTGTATGACCTTTTCATAAAACACAACCTATTATCATTGTTAAATATCTGCCATAGGAAATCTGTGGAAATCTTAAACAACTATGAGTTGATTTAAATTTTAAGCTTTTAAAATAAGGAAAAACACGAGATAATTCATTAAAATTATGCAAGGATTTTCTTCTATAGGGTATTATTTCATATAAAGCTAAAAATAATGATAATAAAAAAAACACATAAGAGATAAAAGTAAACTAGCTCTAAAAACATACTTCTGGTTCTTTTGATGTCATTCTATTGTGAAAATTCAATTCATATATTATTTATAAAAACAACAAAGCTTCTCAGACTGGTATTTAATATGAGAATACATTAGTTAGTTCATTATATAATTTTTGTCCCTATTAAGAGCCAGTGTAGAGGGTCCAAAGAACAACATACTGCAGGTTGCAGACCCCTGACCTAGTCTGACACTGCTTCTCTGAAACTTAAAAACCCCAACATTTAATAAACTGCATTACAGGGAAATCAATGAAAAAACACAAACACAAAAAAAAAAAAACAAAAAAAAAAAAAAACACTGACACCACCATCATTTGATATGAAAAAAGATTTAATGCTTTTTCTTTTCTAATGTGTGCTTTTTAATGCCTGTCTCGTTTCACTACTCTTTAAAATTGAAAGACAAAATAATATGACCTCCAATTATGGTTGAACTGTAGAACACAATTCAACTTTATTGTCGTTACACTGTCACAAGTACAAAGCAAAAAAAATGTAGTTTGCATCTATCCAGAAGTGCTATACAGGATATAAATATTTATTTACATGTGATCTATGTATGTATGGAATACAAATGTTATATATAAACACAGAGTAATTGTAAGAGGCTATGAAATAAATAAATATGAAAACTATTTACAGATTACACAGGAAATGGAGACAATAGGATGTCTGACAAAAGCTGAAAGTTTTGTTGTAGTCAGGACCACACCAACCGACACCAAAGAGTACTGGGAGTACTGGTTTGTGTGATCTATACTACAACACAAGTTGAAAGTGACAGGGCTTTTCATTTCAGGTTTAAAACTGAACAGACAGTGAAAGGATAGTAAAAAAAAAAAAAAAACAGACCTCAAACCTTGACTGTTTCCTTTGCACAGAATAAACTAAGATTTCTGGAATAAACCTGTTAGGGGAGTTTACTCTGAAGCCAAACATAAACAGGTGCAAAGCGGCTCCTGCAGACTCCAAAGTATGATGGAGAATTTGTGATGCTATAGGCTTTTTTAATCTCCAGAGGCTTGAGGAACCTTAAATGAGTAAATAGGAAGTATTTAAAATAAAACCTGATGATTCCTAAAATCACACTAGGAAGCTTTCTCAATTCAAATTGAGAAAGCTTCCTGGAGAGGTGGCAAAACGTCTTCAAATCTTGGAAACCAAGTCCAGTGGATATTTTTTGAATTTCTATGGAATGACTATGACCTGGATGACTGAGAACCTTCATCAGCAGGAAGACTGGAAATGACTGCGACATCTACTGCAATCTGAATTGACTTCAATGCAAGCATCTATTTTTGCACTGCTAAAACGATCTAGAAATAAGTAAAAATTTCTCAAATTATGTGCATTTACTCTTAATTTGAGCAGATAAATGACAAGATTTGCCAATGGAATGAATATTTTTACTCTTAAAATAAGATAATTAGATTACATACACCTGATTTATCTTATTTCAAATGTAAATTATGTTCCACTGGCAAAGTGACTCACTCACCTCAATTCAAGAAGAAATACACTTATCTTAAGAAAAAGATGACTTATTAAGATTATTTACCGTGTGGGTGCCATTAATTGTAAATGCAGATGTGGACAATTGCATAAAAAACAAGAAGAGTCTGATAGTTTTCAGAAACTGTCTGAACAACACTGAATGGTATTACCCCCAGTGGGTTAGATCACCTCATATCCTACAGATTAACGGTTTAACTCTAACCTACCAACGGCCTGGGGAGCATGTTTACCTGAAATGATGCGGAGCGGAGCTGCAGGCCTTCCTGCATGTTTTGCTGAAGCTGGTTCTGGATGCTGATTTTCTTCTCTTTGGTCAGTGTGGACACGGGGAACGCCCTGATGACCGCCTGCTCCCCCACTGCACACAGACGCAAAGATCAGTATCAGAATAAGTGACAAACCTTGAATCAGAGATCTATTCTGCTGAGGTTCAGTATATACCTAATGGATCATGGGGAATGCCTTTGAAGATAATGCGGTATGTGGTGAGGAACAGAGCCCCCTCTGCTGGTAGGATGTGGGGGCCCCCAAGGAGCCCTCCCGTGGCCTCTTCCCTGCCATCAGGGTCCAGCAGCACCCGCAGTCCTTCTGACACCACCTCCTCCCCAGGAAGCAGAGCTGGACGGAGAATCTTTGGCTGAGGAAAGAAAATAAAAACATTATGCAGAAAAACAGGCTCATGCTTTACCTGTTTAAAGGCACGTCCGCAGCTTCAGCTCCGGCATTTTTCATTGACAAGAGAGAGCTAACAGCAGAGAGCTCGGCAGCAAGATTTGCATCACAGAATTAGATTTAGGAAATAAATTCATCATCATAAAGTCTAATCAGAGCACCATATGGCCTTTTTGGAAAGGATTAAACCTTACGTGCACATAATCAACAAAAAAAAAAAAAAAAAAAACACCACAGCATTTTGAAAGGATCCAAAAACATCCAAGAACAACAAACAATTTGCAAGCCTCTGTTGAGAATAATTTCCCTTTTCAATTTCGGCATAAAGGTTGTTTGTCTCATTTACTGTGCTGAGCTATTGATTTTCATATTATGTTTTCACCATCTGGACAGCTGATATGATGCATTTTGCACATGCAGAATAACTTGAGGTGATTCCATCCAGACCTCTGTAATTATATCAGAAGATTTCAAACTCAATGCAACTGAAACGTTTGACATTTTATTCTTTTTTTGGTTGCTTTAAATCTAAAAAATGAAAATGGTCATAATTTAAATTTCAGCTTATGTGTCAGCAATCACAGTCGCTGTAAGAATTCTTATCAAAATACTTTCCACATGGAATAATCATCATGCATGACCTGACCCATTCTTTCTAAATAATAGCTTTCTCAGTTACAAGATATATTTAATGGAGCTTTTATGTCCATAAGGTCTAAAAAAATGTATGCACAAGAAGCAAGGAATGAAAGGCCATTTTTATTATCCCTTACTTTAATGTTTTAAATTAGCAAAAATATTTACTCTATGAATTTTAAAACGATTGCATTTATTGGAGGAAAGAAATAGTAAAACCATCCAGGTTCTCAAATTAAATGTCTTCTAAAGCTAATAACTGGGTATGCAAACTTTGGCAGCAATACTTTGTACAAAGGTGAGATGGTCTTTGTGTTCTTTTTGGCTTCACAACTACCCCATAGATGCCATAGTGATGTTAAAGGGGTTAGGTCAGCAGTGCTTTTTGGTTTCCTGTGACCTTTTCTATGTTAAACTTGTGCAAGTTTCACATTTTTCCATTTGTGGAAATGGCTCTCACTGTTGGTTTTGACTAATCCAAACCAAACAGCCTGGAACTGGTAGGCCCATGGCACTCCCTACTTTAATTATCTGTGAGGAGTTCTCCCTCTGCATGCATTGGTTCTCGCCATATACTTTGGCTCCCTCCCACAGTTCAAAACATGACCATCAGGTTGATTGACACCTCTAAATTGCCCCTAGGCTGTCTGTCCATCAGTTGCTCTGTGATGGACTGCTGACCCGTCCAGGGCGAACGCCACCTTTAGACTGCTGATCGGCACCAGCTCCTTGCGACTCTGACAGGCAGGCAGAAGAAGGATGATTGGAGCTAGTTGGCTGGCATTAAAGTTTTTTTTTTCTTGTATTGGTTTTGGCCAATATGTCTATAATTTGCTGCTTCATTTCTCCATTCAGCACTCATAAGATGCAGGATGCGTCTTATGTTGTGCCAGTGTGCATTCATTTCCACTGATTTCAGTCATACTGTGTGTCAGGGCTTCCCCCATGAGAAAGATTTCATGATTCCCCTCTACAAGACCCAAATAAGGGGTTGGGTTTTGAATGCATTTCACTCTAGAACCTAACCTAACATTGCACCATTGTTGGAGAAAACGTGCACTGAAAAGTTGCAAAAGAAATGAGTTTCTTTAATTTCATGTCTGCATCCTTCTCTGCTTCACGCCCTTTTGACCCACAGAGCTGCCAAAGAAACATTATGTTGGTCGACAATTAAAAAAAAAAAATGGAAGAGGAACCAATCAATCAGAGGGTTTCCCATTAAGGCCACAGCCCACCTAAAGCACCTGAACTCTGGCGCAGAGATAATTATAGCCTCTGTCCTTGAATAGAAATCAGGACAGAGAGGGGAGACCTGTGTACTTCATTACATCTGCAAGCCCTGTGACCTAGTACAGCTTCTTAATGCTGTAACACCACTTATTCAGACTAATCCTGAATATTGAGTCTGTTGTTTCATGCTTTCTGGCAATTGTAAATATCCAGAATGGAAGCTGGGTCTCACACCGACACGTGAGCGGCCAGCAGAACGTGCATCTTGGTTTCCAAGCCGCTCCCTAGACAGTAATAGTATTACGTATTTTTACGAGCGTATTCTGTGATTTGTAGAGAACTGGCTGATGTAGGGCACAGCTGGATCCACAAGTCAAAACATAAAGTGCAACGATGACCGGAAAAACAAAACAAAAACTGGATGAGACTGGTGCTCTGCAAACCAGAATAAATTTAGCAATCGCAGGCATGAAACGCACCAATAGTCGTGACGCGAGTAAAATCCTTTCTAAAGATAACAATGCCGATGCAGATCGGAGGGGAACAACTGCTGCTGCCCATCTATCTGGTAGCATTTAAGACAGTATGTCCTTCCCAAGGAACAAGATTTTATCACAGCCAGGACAACAGATCTCCCAAGGATTGCACCTTCTAGCCAGTTAATGCCAAATCAGGACAGACTCTACAGGATGATAAACCTTAACATTTTTACAATAAGACAAAACCTGACCAACACCAGACAAATCTCTTTTTTTAGGGCTAAAATATTGGTTATTTTCAACAAATATTGTGATTTTATTTCAAAATGCCTTTGTAATAACCATAAGCATGTAGACATTTTACTCCAGGCTTCAAAACTTAATTCATTTAAAAAAAATTTTTTTTTTTTTTTTTTTTTCGGTTGAAAATATTTTTATGATTGAGAAAACTTTTTGGAATTGAATGATTAAGACACAAATCTCCTACCCATGTAAGGCCCAAAAACAAAAAAGATCTTCGATCGTGGGTTACGTTCACACTGCAGGCCTTGATGCTCAATTCCGATTTTTTTGCTTTGCTGTTCACATTTTAAAATATATGCGACTTGCATGTGATCTCCTGTGGAAGTGCAGTCCTACAACGCAAGTGTACCGCATGCGCAGTAGAGGACGCAATGACATCACAGGCCAGCGTGTATTGTGTTTACAAAAGTAAAGATGGATGGTAGTGCCGGAGTGCATCTAGCGATCTTTCCCAACCATAAATACACAATCTTTTCAAGATGGTTAAACATAAATACTGCTCTCCGCATTATTGTCTGCCATTGTTGTTGTTTTTCTTGCAGTTTCTTTATAGCAAGACCCAGAATAGTGACCTATGTCGGCTTCTAATGGCGTTTAGATCGGATGAATGCGACCTGGACATTTAGACACAGGTCACATTTGAAAAAAATCAGATTCGTATCGGATCCAGGACCAAATAGCCAAGTGGCCTGGGTCGGATTGGAAAAGATCGGATCTGTGTTGTTCAAACTGCCATGAAAAGATCAGATCCAGGTCGCATGTGGGGCAAAAAAAAAAAAAAATCGGACTTGGGTCACTTCAGGCTGCAGTGTGAACGTAGCCAAGAGAACATTTTCAATAAAAAAAAAAAAGGTGTTCAAATGCAATTTTTGGAGTCTCAACTATATTTTTGGATTCAAATACTTTAACTTTTTAAAAATACATATTTTTTGATTGAAGCTACCTTATTTTTAACTGAATAATAAAGACACAAATGTACCTTCATAGTTATTATGAAAATAAAATTAATTTCCCAGAACTAGTCCTAATACTAAAATCTAATTCACATAAGCCCTAGTGAAGCACGGTGGTAAACCATCATGGTATGGGTCACACGACCTGGAAACTGCATGGCTAAAGTGTTTTACAGTCACCTGACACTATCTGCGAAATATTTCTAATTGATCCTTTTTAGTTTGACATTTTAATTCTTATTTTTTCTTTAATTATAAAGGCCCTCCACACAAACATTTCCACACAGCTGGATGTAGAGCATCACACTCACCTTCTGAATCGGGGGCAATCTCCTGCTCTCCCTGTGAACTGCCTCTAAAGCCTCCATCTGCATTGCTACGATTCCTGTGGGTCAGACACGGGGATCAGTTACCACCACACACACACACAACCAGCCCACATGTCCACTTTCTGACATGTCCGTTTAACATGTAGGAGGCAATGGGCTCATTCATGTCTGTGGATGCAGGCATCCTAGAGGTACTGAGTATAAAGCAGAGGGAATCTGAGCAGTGACTGAGTGTGTGAAGGCTGCACCTGGGATCATGCAGTGCAGGCTCTTGATGTGCTCCTGGGTGACTCCGCTCTCTGTGCACACCTTGTCGATGAATCGAGCAACGAATCTGACCACAGAGTTTGCAGTGTCGCTGCTCTCAGAGTCCTCAAACCCACTCTCTGTATCGAAGCTCTCCGCCATGCTACCAGCGATGCTGCAGAAATTATGTTCAAAGGTCAAACCGCGGCTTTAGAGGGAAGGGGGCCATGCACCGACAGGCTTCACATATAACATGCACTCTGGATAAAGAGCATTGAATGGCCGAGTGTTGTTCAGCATGCCATGAGCGAAGTGATGATGGCAGGATTTATAGTTCTAACTGAATTATTCCAGGAGATTCTTTCACATGAAAAAGTGATGCAACCTTTTCCTTTGGACAGATACAGAATGGGGAAATCGAAATGTTCCCTGGGAGAAATAAACAAGTCTGGGAATTAAAAAAAAAAAAGAAATCGAAGACAAAACATTTCAAATATTTTCCACATAAGTAAACCTTTAGCTGCAACACTTCTGTCATTTCCAAAAATAAACAGAACAAAATAAAACCAAAACATTGTCTCACGCTTGTTGAAATAAAAAATTACATCCTCCATAAAATGCAAGGGTGGACCATCCAGAAAACTCTGAAGGTGGATGAAAACAAGCCGAGTTCTGTTTTATGCAGCAGCAACAGAGGCTGACATGAAGGATCGAAGTCGGAAACAAATAAAATAAAATACAGCCGCCTGTTTGGCCTGAACAGAAGGTATCATGTAGACTGTGAGTTAGGCCACATCCACCCACAGACGTTTCATCACTTTGTCACAGAGAAACTCACATCCTCTGAACTAAAAAACTACCTACAGCTGAGGCTGATTGCTTTACCTTAAATTCTCTAAAACAAGCTGAACTGAAGCTCCAACTTGGTCATGTTTTATAAAAAGAATAACGCTACCACAATGCAATGCTGCAAACGCTCTAAGGATCCAGTTTGGTTTCATAGGAAAAAAAACAAAACAACAGAAAACCAGCCTTATGAACAGCCTGTTTGAGGTTATGCAAAAGCCTCTTGGTTGAATTTATGTATGGACTTTGACTAGGCCGCCTAAAAACCTTCCTTTTGTTGTATTTCAGTCAGATGTGGACTTGCTTCTGTTTTAAATCACTTTATTGTCCCACAATGGGGAAATTCACTCTCTGCATTTTGAACCATTCCCTTTGGAAGCAGTGAACTGCCATTGTGTGGAGCAGAGTGGGGGTTAAGGGTTTTAGTTTAGGAACCCAGAGTGGAGGCTGAAAGGATTGAACCGGGTTACTTGCAACCTTTTTAGAGCACAAGTGCACTGCTCTAACCACTAGGCCAACACTCCCTTGGATTCCATCGTTTTACATCTATTTCAGGAGTCGCCCAGATGCTGAGAGGGTAAGATGATGTAGTATCTCCACTATGCATTGCATGCCAGCTCAGAGAAATAAGTCTGCTTCATGTAAAAATATTATACTAAAACCTATTTTTGTTTTTAATCTGGTTGTCTGATTCTACGTAGAATCAGTTTAACTATCTGGAATATTTCACTGTAAAGCAAAAATGGAAGAAATCCTCCAAAGGATGAAATCCTGACCTGTTTGTCACAATGCTGTTGCTGCCGCTCTCCCAGTCGGTGACCGGTGCGTTGCGCAGCAGTTTGTTCTTGCTGGTGTCCAGAGGAACCAACAGGTAAACCATGAGGTTGGCGTAGTGGATGGCCTGGCTAAACACGGTGTTCTCCTCGTTCTTTACCAGCTCCTGCTGCTTTTCCTTACTTAGACTGGGCCAGAGGCGCAGCTGCTCGGCAGCCAGGTCCATGGCTGTCTGTTCTTCGTCTTTACCTGCAGGGTACGGGGGGTCCACATCCTGCTGAGGTCAGAGTTAAGTCAGCTTGAGTTTCAATTTACTCTACTTCACCATTAGTGTGAATTTAGAAAGAAAGACTCAGCTGAGATATCGTGCTTACCTTGGGGATGGTGGTGATGGCTCTCTTTTCTTCTGGGGTGTTTAAATAGAGTGTCCGGATCTGACCCTGGACTTCACTGTAGAAAGTGGTTTCCCAGAACTGCTGGTTGGTCCAGATTGGATGGTCCTGTATGCAGGTGTAGGCAAACTGGTTCACTCCAGCAGCCAGTCTCTGCACGACACAACAGAGCTGATGTCAGGAAAAAGAAAAAAAAATACGCAGAACACACGTCTGACAGTAAATGTCTTCAAATTAAATATTTTCAGTGTTTTTTGGGGGAAATTTTAGCCTAACTTCTGGCTCAGAAATAAATAACAGACTTTGGAAATAATCCGTTAATCATCCGACTGGTTTATCATCCCAATTTGAAATGTGAATGAAACCTTTAAAGCTTTTTATTTTTTATTTTTTAGGACAATTGGAACAATTACAAATAATAAAAGCAGCTACAGATTTCATTTTTAGGGTTTCTTAGGCTGCAAGTCATCATCAAACCCAATAATACCTGCAGCCAGAATGGCCGAGTTAATCTCTCAGTAAAACGAGTCAGCTAGATTTCTAAAATGAAGAAACCAAAAAAAGTGAGGAGAGTCGTGAGGTTTAAAGAGGAATCAATCAATCATTCAATGCAAGTCGTAACTTTTTAAACAGATAACTTCTATTGGAGAGACATACCACCCCTCAGGCGTTCTGTGTCAGGCTGGATTTGGAAACAGAGCTGTTGTTTTTCATTAGAATGGTCTGCAAAGCCTATCAGCTGTGGCTCGGAAAAAAAAAAAAAGGAAAAAACAACTACTTTAGAGGAACATTGAGTCCTCGGCTGAAAGCATCGACGTTGCTCTATACTACTGAACAATGTATGGTCGGAAAGGCAGAGCAGGCCCAAGAAAATAAGCTTGCATGAGAAAAACAGAGGCAGTGTTTGCAGAAATGAGCTGCAACAGAAAACAAACCTGCACCAGACGTCCTTCCTGAGGGCCACAAGCACGGCTCGAGTCTGATATTAGATTAGCTTCTGATTTCTCTCCCCAGAGTCTTACTCAGTCCACTGGGTCTATTATCACTTTATCGTTTGCTGTGGAAAACGAGAGGGGGGTGCTGCGGGTGCAAGAGACATAACCTAAACAGCTCTACTCCCAGAGACGGAGAGCAGGCTGAGCCTAAGCTAATGGCTACACACCCACAGAGCCATCCTTAACGAGTTTCTAAATCTTCCTTCTAATTTACAGCCGTTCATTTGTTAACCATTATTCCCCCTGCTTCAAATATTATCTTATCCGCATCTATGCCACATTTAAACCATGGAAAAGTTCATTTCTTTTTTTTTTTTACTTCAGCTTCAACTTTCAACTTCAGCTGTTGTTCACTAAAAGAGTATTTAATAGTAAGTGCTGGTTAAACATCTTGAAAAGCTTAAAAGCCACACTGATGGACAGTTACACAACAGCTACGCCCCCCGTCGATCTTCTCCTAAAAGTTAAATAACCAAGATGAAACCAATTTGAGGGGAAACCAGACGCGTCAGATTGAGGTCCGTTTGCGCACATTTCAAGGTGTTTAAAGGTTGGTATTCTGCTGGGTAATGAGAGCATCTAAGGTAGAGCAGGTTATGCTCACGGATAAGAAAAAGAGAATGGAAACAACAGTCTGAGTCAGTCAGTAAAACAATAACTCCTAAACTGATGTTCAAGCTCGGGACCACAATGTCTATTGGTGAATCATTTCACCTGAAAACAAACAGTGGTTACTAAGGTATGCCTCCTAATTCCCGCCTCACAGCATTCTTGCTTTAAGGTGGTGAACATGAGGCTGAGTCATCCCATCATCAGGAACCTCACCACAGTTTTCTAGGAAGGACATTTTTACTTGCAGAACAGCTGGAGTAATCGAATAGAAATGTTAGGTTAAAAAAAAAAAAAAAAAATTGGATATGCTGACAACAAATATCTAGAAGTGTCCTTTTTTATTTAGGGTGTGTTCCATTTTGACCTTATAGCCCTAAGCTATACTTCTATTTTTAGGCCCGAGCAGCGAAGGCTGCGAGAGCCTATTGTATCTGTTAGGTTTCTTATTTTATTTGTTTTTACATTTTCTCCTAAAAGTATAACAGCATCATTTCAAGACACACCTGAAAGATTGAAATGTGAAATAAAATGTAAAAAACAAAACAAGAAGAAAACCACAAAACTTAGAAATTAAATCTTGTTACATAATTTGGGTTAAGTTTAGGCATAAGATTTGTATCACAATACAGTTTGGATTTCATGCTGCACATAAACATATAAATACATATTGTGATATTTTAAACCTTTTCTTCATCACTGCAATAATGCTTCAACAGGGACAAAAAACAACCCATTACTCCTTATTTTATAAAACAAATCCATCTAACCCCTAACACAGCATGAAAATCCCTCCTATTTGCCAAAGACACAAAACAACTAAAAGATAAGCATCAAATCGATGCTCAGTGTTTTTCAGTAAGTCAAAGAGCAATGCTAAAGCGGAAAAAAGCTAATTCAGTGAAAGAAACACTCATTGCAGACTATTGTTAATGTTGTCTATATATAAAAAGAGGAAAATAGAAACTCTGTTTGACCGTTAATTTGTTTTACATTATGAAAGCTATTTCAACTAATGATCCCTGAAATCAACTAAAAGACAGATGTCAGGGTTTATAAGTTAAGAGACAGAAGGTTTCAGCACGAGTGGAGATGAGGGTGAGACAGTCCAATAAATTAGATGTATATCAAAAGCAGTAGCTTTGGAAAGATGTACTAGATAGTCACAGCTTTTGATTAAGGAATACTGAATGAAAGTGTTTTTAATTTTTGTAAAAATTCCTATGTTGGTTCTGATGTGTAATCTAAGAATTTTGCAGCACAAACAGCCATCTAAGGATTTTCTCCAAAGGCAAACAAAAACAGATAAGTGAGAGTAGAAGATTAAAACTAAAAAAATAAAACAAAAAACTGTAGTTTTTGGAAATGAGTTAAATCATAAAAAAAGGTTTTTCTCATCCCACCACACAGAGCAGCAGATCAGGCATTATGTAGTGATGATTCGTCACGGATTTAATGTCAGCTGAGGTGTCAGCAGTTTGCTTTCTACATTTCTTTGAATTGGCAAACTGATTAGGGGAAAGGGCAAACATTTAAATCTTAGAAAACATAACCCATGACACCATTATCAAAGACATTTATGCGTGACCTGTTTGTTTTATTAACGAATGGAGGCACGTCATTCATGTTGTAGCTTTCTTTTTTTCCCTTATGTAATGAACAGTAGGTAGGGGTGTTTCCCCTCTTGGTTTGGGTTTAAATGAGGAATCCGGTGAAGTTAAATCGAACAAACCGTAAACATGTGCTGCAAATATGACATACAATGACAACATCTTTCAGGTGCACATATGTTTAATAGTTGCGGGATGTTGCACAGTTTTTACCTAATGCAAGATGTGAGAATTTCTAGGTAAAAATTGTTTAGAACTACTAAAAAACAATAGTATTGAGCAGTCACTACTTCTAGTTATGTTACAACAACAAACTTGAAGGTACTCTCCTTGGATTCTATGTGATAGGTCAACCCACATTGTATATTATTGTTTTTTCCCACATTACGCCCCTTGTCCTTTGGTGCCCTCAACTAAAATTCAATGCTATTGCATCAATAGACTCATCAGCACAGAAGAGGTTTTTAAGGGAGCATTAGGAAAAAATGCTTTGAGGAGACCAAAGGACACAGACAGCATTTCCTGTTTTTACCACCTAAGGGCTCATTTTTTAGGCAGCCATTTAAAAATGGCCCAACCATAAACCCTGCCAACACAGGATTGTGCAGCTAAACTAAACAATAAAATAGAAAAAAAGGCTGAACGGGCAGCATTAATCAGAGAAGCAGGTAAGTGTTAATGTTTGCTATTGGATCCTAGAATTTCTAAAAGTAGAATAGAAGGCATATCTTTTAGTTATCAGGCTCCTCTCCTGTGGAACCAACTACCAGTTTTAGTCCGTGAGGCAGACACCCTGTCTACTTTTAAGGCTAGGCTTAAAACTTTCCTTTTTGATAAAGCTTATAGTTAGAGTGGCTCAGGTTATCCTGAGCTATCTCTATAGTTATGCTGCTATAGGTTTAGACTGCGGGAGGGCATAGGGACCCCTTTTTATCATTCTCGTTGATTCTATTTCTGTTCTAAGATTCTGCAGAATGTGTTAGTTCTATCTCTAACATTATGCTCTCTGCTTTTTCTCATGGTAGCTTCATCTGTTCTGTTCCTGTTTGGTTGTGACTCCATCCTGGAGAGAAATATCAGCTGTGCTGCCATTAGGTGGCCTTTGGAAACACCAGAGTAGCTGAAGGGATCCACGGCCCAGGTAGAAAAATCTCTTATCAAAACAAGTGTTATTTCTGCACTTAACAATTTTGACATTTAAGGAAGAGAAAAGAAAGAACGTTCAATGCTATTGAAAAAAAAGAACAGAAAACCTTCAACTGAAAACAGCAAAGAGCGAAATCTGTTTCTTTCTGTATGAGATTTCTGTCAACTAACACCAAACATCCCCTTACTTCAAATCTAGAGCGCCTCTAAACGACTGACGCAGGCCACCAGAGTGCACACTTGCAGTAGATCATAAGCCAATGTTTAGATGACATTAATGAGCGCGTGTTTAGATTAACTGTTCTCTCTCAGAAAGATAGATGATTTATCTCACTTTGCTATCAGAGGAACCAAGCGAGCTGTCTCAAAGTGAGTATGGGAAGGAGGCCAGAGGGACTGCTGGAATAAATAGCAAGAATGCATCTAGAGCTGATAAAAAGGAAGCTATAACGCAGCTTAAGCCTAGCATTGTGCAAGGACTGCAGACTTCGAGTCTGGAGAATATGTGGCCTCTGTCAAACTTTGCACAATTAAGTTTTGGAGCATGATTATAAGAAGAAATGTAGTCATACCGCTCTGTAAGCTGAGTGTTTAAAGTGTTTTAAAGCAGATGTTGTGTGTGTCCATGTTTGTACAGGGGGTATGGGTGTGTTATTTGTCAGCCATGTCTATATTCAGCCTGGCTGTACTTTTCTGAGTTGTCGGATATGCTTGGGTCAATTTGACCGAGGTCAGCCTCTCTTATTGATGAGGATCATGCACAACGCTTACCCAAGTGTTTAGCAGGCAGATG